GTTTGTCTTGTGCTGTAAAAGGTCTTGAGGATGTGCGCTCTGCTGACGTCTGTGAGTAAACTTATTGTCTCTCCACTTACAAAGTATTACCACCACTTCTTGCAATTATGACTAATCATCACACTGGTTTCCTGTAAAGTTCAGGATCAGTTTTAAAATGTTGGTGATCACATCACAATTCTCAGCTGCAGATCCAAAACTCTGGACTCATCTCCCTCTTCAGATCTGTTCATCTATGATACTAACAGTATTCATCTCCTGACTTCTGCTCAGCTTTTTCAGTCTCAGCCAAGAGTAACTCTGTCAGTCATTTTCCCCAGTGTATTTCTTTCTTCATTTATATATATTTAATGTTATTATTTCATTATTGCTTTTATTAATTATTTGGTTGTTTTTATTATAAGCATACTTTAAAGTGCCTATTACTTGTTGTGCAGAACGTTCGTCAACATCTGTTGTGTTTAAATGTGTGATATAAATAAACTGATTTGACTAATTAAGTTAAAATATCTCTTCTCTGTTTCATTGATATTTCAGGTGTTAATGATTCCTGCTGGACGTTGAATTATGTCCACAGCAGAATCTGTGCTCTGGAAGGATCTTCAGTCAACATCTCCAGTAAATACTCACATCCTGACTATGAGCAGATACAGTCTAAATGTTGGTATAAAGTCAAGAGAGAAGCTGAACAGCTGACTGAGGATGCAGATCATGTGGAGTATGATGACAGCATGAAGAACCAACACATCCTCAGATTAAAGAAGCTGAAGAGAGATGACTCAGCAGAATACAGGTTCACCATCACAACAGAAAATGAAGAAGTGAAACAGTTTGATTTTCCTGGAGTTACTCTGATTGTCACAGGTAATTACAGCTTGTTTGACTCACTATTCATTGTTTAGATCCCAGTTAGTCCTGTGTGTTACTCAAATAAGCTAACAGAAACTAATCTAAGCTGGTAGTGGGGAGACTCAGCCAGCTCTAACAGCCTACAGCTGCATGACTACAACGTTTCAGCTTGATGATGAAATCCACGAGCAACTCCAGAGTTAGCTGCAATTATTAGCTATTAATGGCAATTAACAGCAGCTCTGCTCACCTATGTTTGCACTTGTTACTTTAGTGGTGAAAATAGATCCCAGGTATGTGTTAGCATAAGGACTAGAACAATCTGTGAGAACGATTTGAGAGATGTAATATTTATACACAAGTTTTCAGCTTTATTGTTACTGAAAGAGTCAAAAAGAAAATGTCCACAACTTTAGACTGTAAATCCTTTACAATCAAATCTTTACTAAATTATTTCGTTTTCTTTTCTTAAACCTAATACAGTTCTCATATTTGTAAAAGAAAAAAAGATTCTCTCAGTCACTTTGTAACATTGACGCTACAAACCAACCTGCTGTTTACAAGAAACACTTAACATAAAATATCTCTCACAGTTACTGACAAGTTTAAGTATCTTTCAGAGCTGAGAGTGAAGATGAGTCCTTCTTCAGTGGTGACAGAGGGTCAGAGAGTCACACTGACCTGCAGTACCAGCTGTCCTCTGACTGACAACACAAACTACATTTGGTACTTGAACAGTCGACCTCTGACCCCGAGAGAGAACCAGAACAAACATCTGATCCTAGACCCAGTCAGCAGGGAGGATGCAGGAAACTACTCCTGTGCTGTGAAAACCAACAAAGATATCAGCTCTGCTCCAAAGACTCTCACTGTCCAAAGTATCACAGGAACATGGACACCAGCAGCTGCAGGAGTTTCTGCAGCTCTGCTGGTTTTAATACTTCTCACTGTCTGCTGGTGGAGGAGGTGAGGATGAACACTGTTTTCTCTGTCAGATCATTGAAATTCAATTTAGAATTTACACACTAACCTGACACCACCTGTTCATTTTTATATTCCCTTATTTCATTAACCAGAAAAATGAGAACTTCTAGCTATTCATCAACAAGTGAAACAATGGAAAACTTGGAGCAGGTAAACAAAATAAATGTAATAATTCTTCTACAACAGAGGAACATCCCCCTGATCTATCTAGATTGTTCCTTCATGCATGTCAGAGCAGCTTCTTTTTAACAGATATTAGAGATTATGTATTGGAATTTCAGGAGCTGGACCACCCCTCCAAACACCCTCCTTCCAGCTTTCATCTATATAGGTTCCCCCAGTTCTGCAAGCTGATCATTCTTGTTTACATGCTCCACCCTCCCTCCCTCCTTGTTCTCCATTCTTTAATTGATTCGCTTCTATTTAGTACATGGGGATCTGCCAGGCCTGGGAGCCATCGCCAGCCCCCTTCAAGGCCTTCCACAAACCGCAGCTCAATTCATGTCAAATCCACTTTTACCTACTAAAACGCTGTCAAACCTAAAATGAGGACGTGGCCCAGCTAATGAAATTACAAAATGCTTGTGAGTCACTACAATCAGAGCGCAGTTCTGCTGTAGTTCTCATCTGAGGTTCCTGATTTCAGAATATAATGTTTCTCTTATGTTCTGGTTTTCTGTAGGACGTAATTATTTTCCTACAATCGTACAATAAAGCCTGCTGAGGTTTTTGTAAAGCAATTAAAACTACAACTGATCTTGTTCACTTTGTAATACAGGAAAAACTACCAGTAGTTGAAAAAAAGTTTTCTTTTTTTAAAACTAGCTCACACTCTTAAACTCATATTCATCCTTCATTCCAGCAGTGGAGTAAAGCTAATGTGTTATGCTAACTGCCCCAAGATGTTCCTACAGTGACCTTGGACTGAATTTAACATGTTATTTCTCTTTTTTATCAGGTAAATTTTGGGCCCCAGCATGACGACATCTCAGCTCAAGCAGCAGAGCAGGAACTTGACTACAGCGAGATCAACTTGTCCAAGAACCAAACAGAGCATCCCTACTCCACTGTTCAGTCATTTCAAGAGCAGGAGCATGTCCCCTACGCTGTTGTCAACTTCAGAGACAACACAACACCTGAGTGAGTTTGTTTTATGATTATCAATAAAACTCAATGACCAGGCTGTGGACACCTAGAGCCTGTACAACACATCAACTTAAAGAAGATACAATATAAAAACTCATCTGCCTGTACATCTGTTCATGATGTTGGTATTACATTCACTTCTTGTATTTACTTTTTCTGATAAGTATGAACAAACTGTGGTCACTCTTGACAGGCTTCTTTCAAACCCTCATAGGAACTGAAACTAAAACATTTGTAATGGTTACCAGCTTTTTATGTTGAAACAATCGTTCTCAGGCTCTGTCTCACACCAGATAAGAGGAAGCCTCAAGAACAGATCTTTATCTATATGTGTATATATTAAAATGTGTTTCTTAAAGTGTCTTTGACACATTAAAAAGTCATCATTATCTCAGGCTTTGCCCAACATGCCAGCAAAATTGTTCTAAAAATTGCATTAAAGAAAAAACAAACAGTTGAACTCAATTTCTTGTAAAGTCAAAAATGTCTTCATCATAAATCCATTGGACATTTATAGGACAGACTTCATATTTATGAACATGTAACAAACATTTTGTATTAAAAGTAGAATAATAAATTTTATCTTTAGCCCTTGTGTTGTCCTTGGGTCATTTTTGTCCTCTAAAGAAATCTTTTGCTATCAAAAATGTGTTTTTTATTCATCAAATGGTCTGAAAATAACAGAAGTTATTCATTACTATGCTATGCATGATAAGTTTTAAGTAATTTGAATTATTTATGGGGTTTTTATTGGATTTTATAACACCTGTGGTCCTCGTGGACAAAAATGACCCCAAAGTACAAAGTGTTGCAAAGGGTCATGTTTTCACACCATACTGCTTTCAAACATCTTTGATCTTGGATCACTGATGTGTGGGGTTAAGCATTGGTCATAACAACCACAACAACAACAACAACAGGCAGCACAATGAGGAGGCAGGTGCTCTATATTCAATTAAATTTTATTTATACAGCGCCAAATCACAACAACAGTCGCATCAAGGTGCTTCGTATTGTAAGGTAGACCCTACAATAATACATACACAGAAAGTAGCTCACAAGCCTCCATTGCACTAGAGATTTGTGAGCATACTTTTTTTTTTTTACCATGTTGTGCAAAACAATGACCAGTAGAAAAAAGCACATATTGTCCTCTAGTATAATGAGGAGGAAGAATCAATGTTCAGGAAGATCCAGGGTTAGAAGATAAAGAAAATATTGTCAATATTCAGATCACATGCAACCCTTTCTCTGAAAAAGCACATCACCCACCTGAAGAAGTGGAAGAAGGCTATGAAGTAAAGGAAAGTGATGAAGAATCTGAACTATGTTCAAGTAGGTTCTCAGGCATCCAGGACATGGTAGTC